GAGATGATTTTGACCGCTGTCTCAACAATCTATCCAAGGTGCTGAAACGATGTGAAGAAGCCAACCTAGTGCTGAATTGGGAAAATGCCATTTTATGGTAACCGAGGGAATATTGTTAGGTCAAAAAATTTCGTACCTAGGCATCGAAGTCAATAATGCCAAGGTGGACGTGATTGCAAACCTACCCCTACCCACCAATGTGCGAGGTGTATGCAGTTTCCTTGGACATGCAGGATTCTACAGGCGGTTCATAAAAGATTTTTCTCAAATCTCTAAACCCTTGTGTATTTTGTTTCAACAAAATCATCCATTTGAATTTACTAATGATTGTTTGAATGCCTTCACAAATTTGAAGAAAAAGCTTTCGGCAGTACCAATCGTTATCCCATCAGACTGGAACGAACCATTTGAACTCATGTGCGACGCAAGTGACTATGCGGTCGGAGCAGTGCTAGGGCAACGAAAAAGTAAAATATTTCATGCCATATACTATGCAAGTCGTACTCTTAATGATGCACAAGTAAACTATACCACCACAGAAAAAGAACTCTTAGCAGTAGTATTTGCATTCGATAAGTTTAGACCATACCTAATAGGCACTAAGGTAATTGTGCATATAGATCACTCTGCCATTAAATATCTAATTAATAAAAAAGATGCAAAGCCTAGACTAATTCAGTGGATTTTATTACTACAAGAGTTCGATTTAGAGATCAAGGATACAAAAGGTATAGAAATCAAGTGGCAGACCATTTGTCTAGGCTAGATAACAAATCTGATTATCCTGACATAACATAAATTAAAAAGGATTTCCTCGATGAGAAAATATTATTTTTCACGGCTGCGCTGTGGTATGCTGACATAGTTAATTTTCTTGTTAGTGGTATTATTCCTCCTTATTTATTTAGCCAGGGCCGAAAGAAGTTTCGACATGATGTGAGAAATTACTACTGGGATGAATCATTTCTATTCAAGCAATGCGGAGACCAAATAATCTGAAGATGCATTCCAGAAGAAGAACATAAAGATATTCTACACCAATGTCACTCATCATCATATGGAGGGCATTTCGGTGGAATGAGAACAACAGCAAAAGTGCTCAGTCTGGATTTTATTGGCCAACCTTGTTCAAGGATGCACATGAATTCTATAAGTCATGTGATAGATGCCAACGAATAGGAAACATATCAAAAAGGCATGAGATGCCATGGAAAAATATTTTGGAAATTAAACTCTTCAACGTATGGGGAATAGACTTCATGGGACCTTTTCCCACATCTTTTGGACATTTGTACATTCTCTTGGCAGTGGATTATGTATCAAAGTGGGTTGAGGCTATCGCAACACCTAAAAATGATTCCAAAATGGTGTTAAAGTTTTTGCACAAAAATATATTCACCCGATTTGGAACACCACGAGCTATCATCAGTGATAAAGGCACATATTTTGACAATAAATTGATTGCCAAGGCACTGAAGCGATATGGAGTACGACATAGAGCTGCTATGGCGTATCGCCCGCAAACAGAAATTAAATAGATCCTTGAGAAAGTGGTCAACCCAAGTCAAAATGACTGGTCGCTGAAGCTAGATTAAGCACTATCGACTTACCGCACAACATTCAATACACCATTGGGAATGTCACCATTCAAACTGGTCTATGGAAAAGAATGTCATATGCATGTTGAATTAGAACATAGAGCCTACTGGGCCATCAAAAAGCTAAACATGGATGCTCAACTTGCTGAAGAAAGAAGACTTTTAAAATTGAACGAGATAGATGAATTCAGAGCACACGCATACAGGAATGCCCGCCTATACAAGGAGAAAACAAAACAATGGCATGATAGAAAAATATTTTCGAGGCAATTTTATTCTGGATAACACGTACTGCTCTACAATTCATGTCTTAAGTTATTCCTAGGGAAGTTAAAATCACGATGGTCAGGACCATTCATCGTACACCAAGTTCATGACAATGGAGAAATTGAAATCCAAAACCAAAACGATGGTTCCATCTTCAAGGTGAACGAGCAGAGACTCAAAGAGTACAAAGGAGCCCGAGTCATGCGCGACAAGTCGGCATCATTGCCACATGATGCGCAATAGTTTACTATATTTACTTGAACAACATTCGTTGCCTAGGCAACAAAAATTTGAATTATGTACATAAATAAATTAAGTTATTTTCTTCTTTCATTTTCCGTTTTATTTTGTTTTCTTTATTTATTGTAGGTAAGCAAAGAAAACATGGCAGCATGGGGAGTTAGAGCATGCATGAAAAGAAAAAAACCCCTAGGGTGCATGGTTTTGGCGACATAATAAAGAGGGAAAGAGATATTTTCCCTCACTTTATGTCTAATCATATATTTTTCATTAAATGCAAAAATATTTCCCCTTCGTGTAAGGACAAAACTACCCCGAAACCACTCACTACTTTCCAAAGAAAAAACTGCCCAACTTCTTCTTCTTCATCCATTATCTCTCTACTAAACAAGAAAAACATTCTTTCTCTCAACGAATTCTTCCCCTTTGCCACCATTGATTTTACAAAACAAACCAAGTACAATGGTAAGAACAAGGAAAGCCCCAGCTCCAACACAGAGTTTTGAACGTTTCCAAACAGCTGAAGAAGAAGCACGCTTCAAAAACCTTCAGAAACGTCAAGTATATTTGGAAGATGGGTTCGTCTTTCCAGACGAGGATAAAGAACTGTTTTGACCAGAGGTGACGGACGTGATAAAGAAACACAACTGGGAGAAGTTTGTTCACCATCCCAAAGCCATAGCACCGGCAATGGTAAGGGAGTTCTACGCCCACCTCGAAGACCAATCCAACCAAACAATGTACATTCGAGGTTAGCTCCTTCGATTTTCCCTTCAGCACTCAACCATTACTTCAAGTTGGGGAAAGTGGAGGAGCAACACAAGAAATTTATGGCGGAGGCAGATCAAGAAACGTAGAATGAAGTGCTGGAAGATTTATACTTCGTGTAGGTCATGTTCGAAGGGAATGCCCCAACAAGGAAAAGAGTAGATCACTGAGCCCTAAAACTGAACGTGAAGTTATGGAACCATTTTCTCAAAGGCAAGTTGATGCCAACATCTTATAACACCACTATCCTCGTGAAACAGATAATGCTCTTCCACTCGATCATATATGGGAGGAAGATCGATGTTGGAGAACTCATCTTCACTACAGCAAAATGGGTTAATAGCGACATTTGTAGCGGCATTTCTAGAACAAACGCCGGTAAAGACTCGTACTATAGCGGCGTTTTTAAACGCCGCTAAAGACTAATTTAGTGGCGGTTTTGTACAAACGCCGCTATAGTATGAGTCTTTACCGGCGTTTTTTATACAAACGTCGCTAAATAATTTACTTTAGTGGTGTTTTTATACAAACGCCGTGAAAGACTGTAATTTAGTGGCGTTTTTAGAACAAACGCGGCTATAGACTCGTGATTTAGTGGCGTTTTTATACAAATGCCTCTATAGTACGAGTCTTTAGCGGCATTTTTTATACAAACGCCGCTAAATACTCATATTATAGTGGCGTTTTTATATAAATGCCTCAAAATAATGTACTTTAGTGGCATTTTAAGCATAAACGCCGCCAGATACTCGTACTTTAGTGGCGTTTTAAGCACAAACACCACTAAATACTCGTACTTTTTTGAACCGAGTTAAATTTTACTTAACCTGAATTATCTTTAATTAATACATAATGTTCAATAACTGCATTAATAATTAGATAAATTCTACATCAAATATTAATGAACATTAATTTGATGTGAAAAATCGAAATAAATAATCATCGAGTGACCTCATTAGTAAAGGATAATATTATTATGTTGAGAGGATATGAGCTTGAGTAGTTACATCAGCAAGGTATATATGCACTTAAGGTTAAAAAGTATGAATATATATTATCTTGTAAAATTATAATCACCCAAAACTATTAAAAAAATAAAAAAATTATGAACATATAATATTGATTTCTCTGCAAAAATGTTAATAAAAGACAGATTTAGAACATATGAATAGTCAAATGATCATTTTATAACTTTTAATAGTCTGGACTCAACAAAGCAACGTACTATAATCCAAAGATGATTCTGTAACTTTTAATAGTCGAGGAATTCAATAAAACATTACCATATAGTTGGGGACTATTTATGTACATTGCCCTTAATTTTAAAAACCAAACTTTCTTACATACATGTACTGTTAAAGTTTTTAAGCAATTTTTTCATTAGAAAGAAGAAAAGAACCTCAAAATGGTTATTGTTTGAACACAATCATGATTTTACCATTAATTTTAAAATGTATTAGCTTTTTTAATTAAAAATTAAATATCTTTTTCCAATATTTAATTTTTAATTGATTAAATAACCCTTAAACTAATAATTTTCAAGTCAATTGTTAATTCACAACAAACTCAATAATATTTTTTTAAAATATAATATCGATACAAATAAAGATAAAAATAGAGATAGAATGATATAATAGAAATTAATAATGACATTATAAATATATATATTTATCTTTATATTATGATCCATATAATAACAATTAATTTTATATTATGTTTTAAAAACTATACTTCCATATACAATAAATTCAACCTAAAATTAAGCGCTCAAAGATACCCTTCCTTTATTTTGGGTACAAAAATTCCTTTAAACTAAACAAAGGTTCTTCCATATAGAAAATCGCAAACAGAAAAGAAAAACATGACAAAATGACGGGCGACACTCACCGTTCCAAATAAACAATTCAGATAAACCGTTTATTAACTAAACCGAACCAAATCAAAACTCGACGACTCAGATCTTCCCCTTTTTTTCCTTTCCCGATTCCAAGTAAAATGCAAATGTCTCTGTTCCTATCAGAAAACGGCGTCGAAGGAGACGAAGAGAGAGAAGAAGAAGAAGAAGACGTGGACGACGATGAAGAAGAAGAGGGCGATGAAGAAGAGCCGAGGCTTAAGTATCAAAGAATGGGAGGTAGCATCCCGTCCTTGCTTTCCGGCGATTCCGCCTCGTGTATCGTCGTCTCCGAACGCATGATCGCACTCGGAACGCACGACGGAACCGTTCATATCCTCGACTTTTTGGGAAATCAGGTGAATTTTCCATTCATTTCGAATCTTAATTTACCATTTTATTTTGGTATTTCGCATTTCAATACATTTCCTTTTAATTCACATTTTCAATGAATAAGTACATATTTTAGCCAAAAATGTACACAATTTTGGATAAGTTAGTTAAGTTAATCTTTTAGGTTTATTTTGTAATTGATTGTATTTTGTAATTCTTAATATTTTTATTTGGTTGATTTTAGGTTAAGGAATTTGCTGCTCATTCAGCTGCAATGAATGACCTTAGTTTTGATATAGAAGGCGAATATATTGGAAGCTGTTCTGATGATGGTTCTGTTATACTGCATAGTCTTTTCACTGACGAGAAATTGAAATTTGAGTATCATCATCCTATGAAGGCCATTGCACTTGATCCTGATTATGCAAGAAAATCATCTAGGAGATTTGTAACTGGTGGCTTAGCTGGCCACTTATATCTTAATACCAAAAAGTGGCTTGGCTATAAGGATCAGGTTTGTGGCGCTCGACTGTTTAGTATATTTGAGAAACTATATTTTTATGAATTCTGAATGTTGTGTATTTAAATGTGTTTTTAGGTTTTGCACTCAGGTGAAGGTCCAATCCATGCAGTGAAATGGAGAACGAGTCTCATTGCTTGGGCTAATGATATGGGAGTAAAAGTTTATGATGCTGCAAATGATCAACGGATTACATTTATAGAAAGACCAAGAGGGAGTCCTCATCCTGAAATCTTGCTCCCACATTTAGTGTGGCAGGTTAGTCAAAAGATTAAAATGGAAAATATCTGCAGTTGTTTCAAACTTTCTTATGTTGTCTAAACTCTAAACAGCTGCAATGTTATATGTTGTTATTCATTTTCTGGAGTTCACTTATCCTACTAATCCTAGGCCCTAGTCTTTATGAAGCATAGGTTGTTTGATCATTTATACCGTTGCTTGTTGTCTGAACCTATTCAGGATGATGCCTTATTGGTGATTGGCTGGGGAACCTATGTGAAAATTGCATCAATAAGATCAAATCTGAACAAGGGCGCCAATGGAACTTATAAGCATGTTTCAATGTCTAACATGAACCAAGTAAATATTGTGACATCATTTCAGACTAGCTGTTACATATCAGGAATTGCTCCTTTTGGTGATTCTTTGGTTGTTCTAGCCTATATTCTTGGTGAAGAAGATGGAGAAAAGGAATTTAGTTGCACAATACCTTCAAGACAGGTATGCGTCCTTTACAGTTCTGAAAAAGCTAAGTTCCTTGTCATGGTGTACACCCCCTATTTTGAGGCTTTTTGTGCTATCATTAGTGCATTATCTGTTTCTGTTCCTGCAAGTTTACCAATTTATCTTTATGGTGTGACTCCATTCTTGACAGAAGCCACGGCAATGGTTACTGTAACAACTCTACATTGTTGCTCTGCTTTGAACTTTTAGGTTGTACTTATATGAAGAAATCTAATTTGGAATTCTTTTTCAGTAGGCTGCTTATGCTTCTATATACGTTCTATTGATCCTGAGTTTAATAGTTGGTGGAGTGGATTGTAGAATCGAATGCATTAGCTAATAATGTTTTCTCAGGAGTTTGATAAACTGCTGTTGTTATAAACTTATAATTCTCATTGCCTATGCATAATCTACTGTAGCAGGGAAATGCACAAAGACCAGAGGTTCGCATTGTGTCTTGGAACAATGATGAATTGGCAACTGATGCCCTACCAGTACATGGCTTTGAGCACTACACAACAATGGATTATTCCTTGGCACATGCTCCTTTCTCAAGTTGATATCTCCGTTCTTGAAGTTATTGGTTATTAGATAGAATTTCAGTGAATAGTTATAGTGCTCTTCTCATATGAATGTAGGCAGCAGTTATGCCCGTGGACAGTGGGCTGCCGGTGATGAACCAATATACTATATTGTATCACCAAAGGATGTTGTCATAGCGAAACCTAGGTTACTTCCGATTCTTTATATTTTTCTTTCTTCTTGAAGATTAAACTTGTCTTTCATTGAGAAAAATAGTAGAGTAGGAAAAAGATTGTGGTTTTTGTAGTACTATGCAGTATATAGTTGATTGTTATGAAATGTTAGCAGCATCTATTTGGTGCTGGTTGCTTATCTTCCCTAAAGGAATTTGGATTTTTGGAATAACTCTCCTCCCAGATTTAACCTGATAGTTAACTGTACAAGCTTCCATTGGACATGATTTGAGGTATCTGCAGTACCTTAAGATTTGCACCTTGGCAAAACAGCTATAATGATCCAAAAATACATTTTAAGTTATCTTCAGAAGAAAAATTATGTTTCACATTCTCATAAGACATGCAAAAGGTTTATAATAGCAAAGAAGTGCTGTACATTACCATTAATCGCACGTGGGGTGTTTTGCAGCAAATGATGTGTTGTGTTTGAATTTTGTTGTCAAGATTCTCCTAATATGGACTTTGACATCTTATAATAATCTCTGGATTTGTGCAGCTTATTAAAATAATGGTCAATATTTTATGTGGTACTTTTCTAAATATATATATATATATATATATTGCAAATACTGCTTGATTTTCAACCTTTACAATTTTGATACTTTAAGGATGCTAAGGATCACATTGCATGGCTTCTTCAACATGGATGCCATGAAAAAGCTTTAGCAGCAGTTGAGGCTGGTCAGGGTCGGAGTGAACTCCTTGATGAAGTAACTTTCTTCTTTTAAATGAATTGATATCACTTACTGTGTAAATCTACTAGCTTAATATCTAGGCTTTGCACTATTATTAAAGACTCTGAGTGCAAGCTAACACATATATATAAATGTTCTCTTATTGCCAAACTCATTTGTTTCCCTAAATATTTGCCATTCCTCTGTCCATGTAAATATGTAATTACTAAAGTTTGTTGTTGCTTTTATTTTTGTTCACCTTATGTGTAGGTCGAAACTAGATACCTTGATCATTTGATTGTGGAAAGGAAATATGCTGAGGCTGCTTCCTTGTGTCCCAAATTGTTGAGGGGATCTCCTAAAGCTTGGGAGAGGTACTGAAAATCATTTTATGCAATTCTTCCCATATATTTCTTGTTAATCGCTTTCAATTGTCTTGGCAGATGGGTTTTTCATTTTGCCCATCTCCGTCAACTTCCTGTATTGGTTCCATATATGCCAACAGAGACCCCAAAGCTACGTGATACTGCTTATGAGGTATGTCAAGACAGCAACTTTGTGCAAATTTTCATGTAGCCTTATTTTATAGTTTTTAATGTGTCAAACTTGGAATGAAAATCCATTTGTTTGCTTTGCTGCAGGTTGCTCTTGTGGCTCTGGCAACAAATCCAGGATTTTATAAGGATCTTGTATCAACTGTTAAATCTTGGCCACGTGTCATTTATTCTATGTTACCTGTTATCTCTGCAATTGAGCCACAGTTAAATACTTCATCTATGACTGATGCCCTTAAAGAGGTTCATGAGGCAGTTTCCAATTGTCGAACATGAATTGAATCTGTTGATGCTATATGTCGAATGATATTCTTTTTTCTTGATAGGCGCTTGCAGAGTTGTATGTTATCAATGGGCAGTACGAGAAAGCTTTTTCACTATATGCTGATGTAAGTATTCTTATGTAAATTTGTACTTAGACAAATATATTTGTCAACCTTAAAATTATGTCTGATGCAAATTGCTCATGAAAACTAGGTTTTCATCTCTAGTTGGATATTTCATTGCTTCTTTCTTAATGTATATACTTGTCTGCGATTCAGCTCACGAAGCCAGATATATTTGACTTCATTGAAAGACACAACTTACAAAATTCTATTCAAGAAAAGGTATGGTTATGGAAGAGTATATGAAATATTTAAGCTACTTTTCTTTCTAAAAAATGATTGCCTTTAATGTCAATACCTATTCATATGAGGCCAGTCTTGTAAATTCCGAAACTGATTTTTTTTCCTTCCAAAATTTTACTACTTGGGTTGACACATTTATCTATGTTAGATGCATTGGAAAATTCAATCAAAATTAAAGTGAAAAAATCGCTCTTTCTATTTAATAAAATTGTTGGGGAATAAGAGCAAAAGGTAATTGAAAAAGAATTTTTCGTTTATTTACTTTATTAACAATGAATTTTAATACCAGAAATACTATGTGTATGGTGCAGGTTGTCCCGTTGATGATTGTAGATTGTAAACAAGCAGTTAATTTATTGCTCCAAAATCAGGACTTAATTACACCATATGAAGTTGTTTCACAGCTTCTGAATACTAGAAAAAAGTGTGATGCGACAGCCTTTTCTTAGGAACATACCCAACAGTGCACGCAAAGCTTGTTGATTTTCAAAAAGAACTTGTAAACTTGCAAGTCCTGAAATAATTAACCTTCTATTTTCCTTATGAAGTTAACTTCTTTGTATGGTACTAACACAGTTCTAGAGTTTATGCTTGTGAGTTGTTTGACTGATTTGTAATCTTTTGTATTCATCTAAGATGGTGTTATTTAATCAGTTTATTAAATGTAGGTTGTGGAGAATAATCCCAAATACTGGGAAGTTATGTCATCGACACTTGCTGTGGGTTGGCTAGATATCGTGGTATGTGTCTGACAGACTAATGTGGTTTTATAGCTTAATAAAATTATGAAAGCATGTTAGGTTCTTTTTTTTAGTGGAATTTTATGATTGGATGCAGTTTTATATTTTCACATGCAAGTTAAAATGTTGAGCTTGCATGGATCTTATCAATTAGATCAACTCAGCAATCGCGAGGTTGGTAAGAGATTAATTATTATGCATTGCATCCAAAAGATGTAGCTCTATTTACCTTTAGTTTCATTGAAACATTTTAATAGTTAAGAGGTTCGTGCAAGTCTTTGTTCATTTATTTGACTAAAATGTGTTTTAACTTGGAAACGATTGTTGTTATTATGCTAGTTCTGTTTTTGGTTGTTTCAACTAAGTAGTTCCATATATTCTTTGCATTTCCATCCGTCAAGCTTTTCACCTATTCACTTTTCTGAAGGTGTTCTGGTTTCAGTGTGCTCACCAGTAGACTCATCAGTGTTTGAGAAGTATGTTACAAATAATGTTGGGTAATGCTAATAGTCTCTGCTCTGCAATATGCCATTGGATAGAATTGTATATTTCTCACTTGTTATACATCAGGCCATTCACAGTGGTATGTACTTTCCTTGTATTACATATCTCGTTTATTTATTTTCTTTTGTTAGGGGTTAGAAAGCACGTACAGTTTGGCACAGAAAAGCATTCAATTGAAACCAATGGCCTCTGCACATAAGTTGATGGGGCTTATAATTAAAATTCTTGGGGAAATACTGAGGTGACAAATGGGGATAAAATATTAATTTACAATCTCCGTTAAATTCTCTTTTTGCTTCCTTATCTTTAAGTTAGATTGTTCTTTTGTCTATTCTAAGGTTGTTTTAGCAGAATGCTTGAAAGGATTTGGTCCTTGGTAAGCTTTCATATTTCCATCTTTATATCTTTCTGTTTGTTAGGAATGCAGTTTTGGAGCCTTTTTCTGGGTGCTATTGATTTAAAATATGTTTGGTCTGATAAGCTGTTAGAAGTTATCATGAAATTCAAGCTTGGATGTTTCTGGACAATTATTAAGATCTATCTCTATATTTTGCTTATCATCATGAAGGTTGCCCATGCCATAGAGTTGTTGACTGCTGGGACTGACCATGCAGAAATGTGTTGTTAACTTTTTTAACGTAAGATATAATGGATTTTCATATAAACTGATGATTTATTTGGATATGAAACTAGAGATCGGGTTTGCATTGCCATGGATGGGGCCTTTTCAAGTGGCATGCCAATTGGAGTAAGACCTCATGAAGCAAAATATCTGTGCAAGAAATGACAGGACGATACTAGCTCTGCATTATTGTTTTCCCATATAAACTGGATTTATCTCTTTGAATTTAAGCGCCTCATTGTGACGAAGAGTTTTGAAGAATGTGTAAGATTAGAAACAAAATATCTTATATATTATTGTTTATTATAGTTAATAATGTTGAACTACATTATATTTTACGTTAATGTAAACTTTGATTTATTATTATGGATTTCATTTTTCTTGTTATGGATTTTAAGTTTGTTGTTATGGATGTCAAGTTTATTGGAAAATGCTATAGGTTAAATTTGGGTAATAAAAGAGTAGAAAACAACATTTGACAAATTAGTTTTAATTTGCAAAATCAATTTCTTTTAGCTATAGAGAGGTAATTAGTGGCGTTTGTATCTTAAAACGCCGCTATAGATATGACATTTTGCGGCGTTTGTTCTAAAAAACGTCGTTATATACCAGATCTTTTGCGGTGTTTGTGGGAAAATGCCGCTAAATATCAAGACCTATTGCAGCGTTTGTGGGAAAAACGCCGCTAAATCTCAACATCTATTGCGGCGTTTGTGGGAAAAACGCTGGTAAATCTCAACACCTATTGCGGCGTTTGTTGGAAAAATGCCGCCAATTATCAACACCTATTGCGGCGTTTGTTGGACAAACATCGATATATATCGTTACCTATTGCGGCATTTTTTGTTACCAAACGTCGCGAACTTTAGCGACGCTATTTGCAGCAGCGCTTTTTACGGCGTTTGTTATAGCGCCGCAGGTGTTTTTTGCGGCGCTTAAAAACGCCGCTATAGGTAAAAACAAACGCCGCAAATGTACAGTTTTGTTGTAGTGCTTCTAGCAAATCCATGAGTTTACCAAGAGGAACCGGGGTAATCTATTATTTTCCAACTTGATTACCGCACTATGTAGGAAAAAAAAAGGTCCCCGAGGAGCCCTTCGAGGATTTTATTAAATACAATGAGGGTATCATGACTGTCTTACTTGTTGTTCTTCCTTTGTTCTTAACTCTTTATATATTTGGGGTTGTATTAAAAGTTGAATTTTGGATGATTTTTGATAGCATCATGACTGTCTTACTTGTTGTTAAACTTTGTTTTGCCTGAACAATATTTTTATGTTTTATGAATGATGAATTATGTTTTGCTTATGACTGTTATGCTCATCGTTTAAATATTTTAGCTTACGCTGTAAGAGCATCGAAAGATTGCCTGGGGTTTTGGTAAAACATGTCTTGGCAATATAAGAGCATCGAGAGGTAGCCTTTTGTCTAGATAATGATTCTTAAATTCGAGAGAATTAAGATAGATCCACGTGAGCAATGAAATGAATCCGGGATGGTGAAGTTCCAACTTGTTACCTTAGAGATAAGGAGTGAGTTTCAAACGACTAAAAGGGATAGACGCTAGAGTAGGATAGTCAATGCCTATAGTTTACATTGAGAGGTATTGTTATAATAATAGTTTGACAAACTTAGGGTTTGTAGTTAACGCTGAGGAGTATTGCCATAGCAACCGTGTAAGAATACCTAGTAATCCTGTCAGGCAGCTTCGTAAGTCATAATAATTCATTCTAGACTTACAATAATTATTGTCAAAGCAAAAGTTTAGCATAAGTGCTCTGTGATACGTCTGAATATGTGAGGTTGTCTGCATTATATTTAGATCAACACTTGTCTTGTTTTATTCCAGCAGTTTGCATACTTATTTTGCCTCAACCAAACTTTCCTGCAATCGTTAAATCACTTCTTTGTTTTATTAATTTTAGTTCTTAAGTTGACAATCTCGTAGGACTTAGTTTGTGACACTAGTTCTAGTTGTGGTAAAAATATATTTCTCGACCAATCCATGTGGAGACGATACTCACTTACCCTATATTACTTGAATCGATTGTGTATACTTGCACATATTTGCTTGCCTTAAGATATTCATTTACAAGCGATCAATACACCCATAAGTATCAATACAATTTTAGCTACTGGTATATGCTAAGTGAACTCGGTATCGATACTACCTTATGAATCTCGATACCTCACCTATAGTATCAATACCCATTGTATAAGTATCGATACTTATATGCCCAAAACCGCTTTTTTAACACCTGAAGAATGATATCGTTATTGTTCTTCTAGTACCGATACACGTACCTAGAAATACCCTATTTTGGGTATGAAAATTTCTCCCTAACACTCTTAAACATCCTATTGAGGCCCCCAAACATTATTAAATAGTTTTATATGAATATAGGGGTTATGAATGGTTTATAAACATGTTGAAAAAAAAAAGCCTAATTTTTGAATTCTACCTTGAACATGCTTCATAACTCATGCAACCTATCAGAAAAATCTAATGACCTACATGTGGTAGAGTTGAGTTAGAAGTGAGATACCTAAGATTTTGAAGTTGCTAGAAACATCCAAGGTTCAACCAAGATTGAACTTCTCATTTCCCTTAGCTTTGTAGCTTTCTCTAACTTCTTTCACTAGACAAAAATCAAGCATAAATGTTACTAAAGTTGTTGGGAAACTTAGAAAGGAGTTTAAAACATTTCTTGAGGCTTGAATCTCTCAAAATACGAATTGAAATAACTCATATTTGGTATCTTTGCCCCAAAACTTACCATAGAGAGCTTGAATTGAAGCTTATAATGAAGGGATTAAATTTTTTACCTTGGTGTTATTGGGCAAGGCTTGAAATAAAATAAAGCTCCTACCTTTCTTAAGATTCCATGGAAGAAAAGCTTGTATGGATTTGGTCGTTATGAAAAAGGATTCAGACTTTGGGAAAGTTTAAGGGTAATTTGCTTCCTTGGTCCTCTTTATTTATGTCACAACATAAAAGTACCCCTTTTTATCATCAATTGGGCTCAGGCTTAGCCTATACCATTGCTCACTTGTCCAAAAAAATTTAAAATGATAATGGATTCATTATAAGGCCCACTCAAGTTAACCTAAACCTACTAACCCATGATTTGGGACTTTACAACATGTCTTTGATGTATGGGAGTCCTAATTAGGCTCGTGTTGGGGCTAAATAAGTGTGTTTGCATATCATGTAAGGAAGATCGAACCATCAAATCTTAACTATGGCTACTCTCATCATATTAGGTAGTTAGAGTTTATATCTCAATTGTTGGATCGTCACCAGATCCAATGGCTGAGTTTATCACGACAACTGATGGAAGATTTAAGCTAAGGTTTCAAAAATCCTTTAATATTTCTTCAAATTACCTTTTTTGATGTATGGTTCTAAGGTGTAAAAAGGTTTACTATGAATGTGTTTCATCTTTGGGTATTGTATTTGGACTTGGAAAATGTAAATAGACATTTATTTTAAAAGATTTGTGTTATATATTTGTATATTGAATTTTGTGTTTATTTATTCAATAATAATAATAAATAATAACAACAACAATAATAATATAG